TCAGTGATCATTCTGAAGTTTAAGGTTATTTTTAGGTACTCGGAACTGATGAGTTGAATGCATATCTAAACAAATACCATCTAGAGCTTGATCCTCAACTTGATGCACTTGTTGGAAGGTTCGCTGAAATTGTTTCATTTGCTCTTTATGGCAATATCAATGCTAAGGAATATCCTTCCCTATTTTTCCTTTTAGATAATCTGTTTGTCCATCAATTTGTTAAATGATCTTGTATGTGCTGTTTCAGGCACAGTAGGAAGCCGTGGTCCAAGTTTATTAATGCAGATAATCAGCATCTTGTTTCCCCCGAGGTGTGTTATATTTCCCGTCTGTATTATGCTGAAGTCTTTCTATACTAGGAAGCAAAATGAGTATGCATCATGTGTGCAGGCAATTGACTACCTTGACAAGCTCCTTCGATATGATCATCAGGACCGGTTAACTGCGAAAGAAGCAATGGTAAGCCACACGTGCTTGTTTTGCATATTCATTACACTTCTCTAGTTTCTTTTGGAATTATTTTCTAGCAACGGATATTTTTCTTGGTGTTCATTCCTTCATTATGATTAGAACCGAATGTTGGAGTCGCAGCTCATAACCGATGACACTGTTGTTGTCTTGTGGCATAGGCACATCCATATTTCGCACAGGTGAGGGCTGCAGAAAGCAGCAGAATGAGGACACAGTAGCAGGGGGCTGGTCGTATGAACTCTGCCCAGTGAAGTAGACGCCATTATCATATGGGGACTATAATGGTCGTGATTAGAACTCTTACTTGATTGCTTTCATGAAGTGCGGGGGGCATTGTGCCATGCTTATCCATTTATTCGTCAACCCCACATGGTTGCTTCCCGGATGATGCATAAGTTGTACCATTTAAACATAAAATTTCTTTATCTTCTACAACTTTCTTCAATTGTTATGTGAGAAGGAAATTTTCGGGCCCAAGCTCCAGACTTGTTAGTCCCTTGTAAGAGTTCAGACATAAAATTGGCAATTTAAAGTGTGTTCTTCTGAGATTGCTTTGTTCATGCCCCTGAGAACTAGACTTGCAATTAGATTTTCCTTGGCAAGTCTGTTTCTTGAGTTGATGTTTGGGCCCCTTAATTATAGGATGTTTAAGTCTTGAACTATTTGTTTTTCATAATACCACCTCTAATATGGCATTTCAATGGAAGTTCTTAGTTTGTCGTTGGACTAAACATCCGACACAAGAATCGCCAGAAAAAGGAAAACCTCCTTGTGCCCTCCATCACCTACCACCTATGGTGGCAGCGGCCGTGGAAGTAATGATATCGAGACTCGAGGGTAACCCAACCTATGAGGGTAATCATGATCTGATTTTTAGGTTCAAGCGAATGTTGGGCTGTGGATATGTTTCTAAGAGGTGGTTCAATAATCATCCAACTCGTTAAGAGAGGAAGACACATTTGAGATCCTTCTATTTAGAGGGAGATGTCATTCATTGATGTGAGTGGATGGAGAGATCGAATGTTGAGATCGAGATGCTGATCACGTGGCTTGATATGGCGAGATTGAGGCCAGAATTAGCTACAACCGTGAAGGTAGTTGAGCCTTATTCTCTGCGAGTGGCTTTCATATTTGCAGGTCGTAAGGAAGAGAAGCTAGCGAGTTGGAAGAGAAGTGCATGGCTCTTTTAGAAGGTAGCGGGAGGCCCTGGTAGAGGACCAATGACTGTAGGTGGCGTCGTGCCAGTGGCAATGTAAGCATTAAAGGTATCGAAACTCGATGCAGGAGTCGCAACAATGGTTGTTTCCTATTATTTACTATGTGGGCCATTATTGTGGTTTTGTTATGTTATTGGAATTATAAGTGCATTTTGGTACTTCGTAGGGAATTTTAGGTGTTATTTGAGATTTCAATAATGAGGTTTAATTATGGATAGTTAAAACAAACTAATCGAACTTTATATTATGTAATTGTGAACATTTGTTATGAGGAAACACAAAATCAAAATTCCCTAATCCAAAATCTATTCTCAATCTCTGAACCCTAGACGGGAAAAACTAGATTCATATTTCTTACAATAATCTGTCAACGGATGTTGTGATCTTGAGAAACGGATACCAACCAACTCTGGACTAAATCCACAAAGGAGTTCGGATCATAATTGAGAATGACTTCCCAATTCACCTGCAAACTCTCGAGAATCTGTCCTGTGAACTCGATATTTGCAACGAGAAGTAACCCTAGCAAAACAATGAATCCTGCAGCAGAACCTCTAGATAGCGGCATGAAATTGTACCAGCGACATTCAACTCCGACCGTTTAATTGAAAAATTGACCAGTAGTTCACCTGATCGCTCAGTAAGCCTGGAAAAAAAAATTTAAAGGCTGTCAGACAGAACCTCTAGATAGCGGCATAAAATTGTACCAGCGACATTCAACTCCGACTGTTTAACTGAAGAACTGACCAGTAGTTTTCACCTGATCGCTTAGTAAGCCTGAAGAAAAAAATTAAAGCCTGTCAGACAGACACATGACCATCCAAGCAGCCAAGAACTATCATCTACAATCTCGATATATCCAAAGCTAATCTCAAACGTTAGTCACGCTCTGATAATGTGGCCACAATTCATCCACCAAGTTTGGGATCTTGTTCAAGTAAGGTCGGGTCATGTAAGCTCCCGTTCCAGTACTATATAGCCCGGCGACTTCGCTAACAAGTGATGTGGTATATGGTGGAAAAGCTACCTTCCGTGTCTTCGATTCGCTGAAGTCAGTGGACCTCTATGGGCCCAGTTTACTCAAAACATGGGCCTGCTACTTGAACCTTTATCTAGAAACGAGAACTGCAGCGCTTCTTCAGCAGCTATAATTTTCTGCTATTTTTCGTGTTTTTATTTCTGATCTTCTTCACTGCCTTGGCTAACGTGGTGATGATGAGATGCTAACGTAAGAGAACCGGGCTTAAACAAACAAAGATGATATCTTTGCTGCGCCATGCCTTGGAGACGGAGTGATTTTAAGGTGTGTTCCATTGACTAAAGACTAACTGAGATTTATCCTTTGGGGAAATGGCTTTCCTTCCAAGTAACTGAGAGTGTTGGTTGCTTGCCATGAAATTCACAGAGGTACGACCATACGAGCCATGGTGCTTGCCTGCTTGGAGTCCTCGGCTGTCCCAATTACCCTATGAGGAAAGAGTGGCTGTAACAAAGTGCTGGCATCTTGATTTCTGCATTGCAAAGTGAAGGAAATTACTCCTCAAATGCAGCCAGCCGGCCAGAAGTCTTCACCAACTGCTCTGTAAATATCAGTAACATGTTTCTGCAACCATAATCTATCACCGGAAAAAGGACAGTCGCTACAGGCTGATTAGATGGGAATATTGGGCGAGCAGATCAAATGAAGTGTTCTCAGACAATGTTAACTAGGCAGAGGCTAGATGCTAAGAGTGGTTCACTACTACGAGTCAAATGGTCAAAACATTAAACAAATTTTGCCTCTACACACAACTGGATCACAGGGTTCAGAAATCTGCCTCTGTAATGCTATACGAAGTTGATGTGTCTGAGCCACTGCCTGTGCTACAGCCAGCACCGCCTCTATTCTGACTGACAACATTGATTCTTCTCCTTGGTCTCTCGCCATTCTTGGATGCGCTTTTAATTGAATGTTTCCATTCTGCTTGTAAGGAACGCCGTGCTCTTGACACCTTTTGTGCAACTTCGGCAACCGCCAGCCCAGCAATCCGATGCTGACTGAGACAACAGATAGACCTTTTTGGTAACAGAAAGAGGAAACTGAATGGTGACAAGTAAAAGATCAAGAACAATTCAGTTGGATAAGATGTCAAATATAGGAAGATGCCTCACTGAAATCCACCAACATGCATAGAATAACCACCTAACGATGGAATTGCAGCCCTAAGTAGCAGAGGTGTCCAAACTTTACCGTGAGCAGCTGGACGAGGTACTTGGAACCAAATGAACTGCTAAGCAATTTTACCAGATAACTACCTGACACGTCTTGGAAAGCCAGGACATTCATATTGAATCTTCCTGCCAACTGAATCAGCACTGCAAGAAGATTTATTTGCCTTCTGTTTTGTAATAGCAAAATCCTTATGCTTACCACTCTTTAGAGGCTCAAGCAAAGGTGGCTGTCCGTAAACCTTTTCGCGAACATTCTCTGGATGCAATCTTTTGCACCAGTTTTCCTACAAAGTTAATTGCATATTCCAGTGATCAGTGATAAATTTTTTTTGAAGAGTATGAATGCCATGAAGTTGAGTATAGTATCCTATAGCGGGAAACCATAAAAAAAAAGGACCATTAAATCTAAAGAACAAGTAACCTATCAGCCCAGTGCGAACTTTTTTTTTTTTTTTTGTTATTAAGCCATGAGAACCTTTAATAGTTACCTTGAAGAGATGATCAATGTCAAACCAGGAGAATTCAGTATTGATTTCTGAAGCTGTATACAAAGGCACAAAGCTATCTGCAGAGGCCAGGGGGAAAAGGAAGAAAGACTTCAATTCAACATTTGGCCGTAACTAGGAATGTTATTGGTTTACATCTTTGGTGCTTATCAATATAACAAGTCAAGATTAGTACCAGAATGTTGGAAAAGTATACAGGATAGAACAAAACATTTGCGGGATACAAGAAACAACTGTGATCCAAAACCCAAACATCCATAGAACTAGTCTTGCAAAACACAGATGATGTGTGAAGCACACTCTTAACAGTGGTATAGAGCAGCAGAAACCTGATAGAAGGCCAAACACTGAAGCACAAACTTCACTATAGAGTCTAGTTTCAAATCTAGCGTAGCATCATAGTCCTTCACCCGTGAGTGAGAATCAGAGTAAACAAGGTAACAAGACCTAAAACTTTTAAAAGGGCAACTGCCATATCCTCTGCGATCACCAGCTATCTTTTAAATCCTATATAACTAGGAAATGGATCATGCCAAAGCCAAACAATAATCCAACACGAAAAGGGACAAGGAGACAAGTCCATATGAACATAGACCAAGACGATTTGCCTCTTCCATTATTTAGACGACCTCTTGCTTAAAATAGTTGTGATCTGGTAAACATCTGCGGCATATAGACATGAAAATAGCAACTAACCACCGCAAGACACAGTGAGCACGCATGTCCAACTTTTTCCAGGAGCCCTTCTTGAGCAGCTCCAGAAAGACCGTTCCTGTATTATATAACGAGAGAACATTTTCCATCCTTCACGAACTATTCGGCCGAGCTTTAGCTTTTGCAATAGATAAGGCCTCCTACATACTAGCAGGTCGTTATAAAACATAGAGATGAAGCTCAAGTGCAAGAGAAGTGATCCCCTTATCGGTGTAACCCTCTGCCTTTCCAGTTTCAACTCTTTGAGGACTCGTGAAGAAAAGAGAACAAGCTCAGAACCAATAACGCATAAGACTTTGAACATGTCAAACTGAAAGTTTGAAGTTTGATTACAACAAGGAGACAATGGGAGCAAAAGTTAGGTCCCATGTTACCAAACACACAAAACAGATGAACTCAGACAGGTTTTATCTCAGAAACAAACATGGATCCACCATCTCCAGCTCGTCAAATCCACTGTCTCTCTCTTTATCTCAGGGTTTGAGATGAGGGAAGCAAGCATACACATCCGATTTAGGGTGCTTGGCTTCCGCATGCTCCCTGCACTTCACTTCTGTTGTAGTGCACATGAACGTCTGCATACAAACCTTGCACTGCATACAAAGTTGGAGCATTGTTAGCCATTTGAAGATTCCAAATCAAACCATAAGAGCCCCTTAATGTCACTCAGAAGATAAACGCAAAAGAAAGGATCAGCAGAACAAAATTCAAAAGGGTGATCAAAACGAGCTCCCCAAACAATCGTTAGCACAACCAGAGCCGAGCTTTCCCGAGCAAAACCAAACACCCACAGCCTATCTGGCAAAGAGATTCCAGCTCTTTGAGCAATTTCCACAAATAGAATATGTTCCCCGAGCCTTACAATTGTGTTCGATGCGTGTATAAAATCGGGGGCTTGGAAGCAAGAACTCAACTTTCTAGCAATGCAAAGAACATGATAAAAAGAATAGGAGAAAGGCAAAGCACCTGAATACTCATAGCTTTCTTGTTCGAATCTAACTGGCTTCCTGCGAAAATCAAAACCCATATGGTATCCCAAATCAACAATATTGATCGATTATTGTGGGCAACAACTTCAAAATTGCTATAGTTATCTGCTTATGTTCTAAAATCGTCGAAAAAAGGGGGAGAAACTGGGGATAGAAAGGAGGAGGAGGAGGTTGTTTTACCTTTGGAGGAGCCAGCTTTCGCCAAGTTCCTCTCGCGAGCCGTCTTCGCCTTCTGGCCGTTGCCTCCTCCCATTTTGGCGAAGGATCAATCCGAGAAGAAGGGAACCTTGAAGCAGGGTCGGGACGAAACCCAGGAGGGGAAAAAGAAAGAAAACCCTAATTCTGAAATTGCAGGTTGGTTGGACAATCTAAAAGGAACCTTGAAGCGGGCACGCGATTTATATGTCTTCGGTTAACCAGGAAATCTTCATTCCGTCTGTATATTTTTGTTACATATTATATTAGCGAAAATATTATTGGTTTTGGGTTATCTCCAAACCATCCATTGGCTACTCAAGTACAGTCAACGCAGAATTTTCCACTTAAAATAATAATAAAAAATAGCAGTAAATAAAGGACATTTTATTAATATCTAAGGGTTGGTTTGGTTTTGGTGATAGTATGTATTGTTGTCAATGCATGCATGATAATATATATGTATATAAGAAAATTGGTGTATTGTAGTTTACATCGTTTGGTTTCTGTGATAGTTATTCAAATATTGAAATAAATTATATTACTTTTTGAATGAAATGTCACTTTTGCCATTTGTTTTTAATATTAAAAAAAGCAATACACATAAAAAGGTAGTGACATAGTTGGAACAAAACAAAACCCAACAATCTCTACCAAACAATGTCAACAATCTCAACCAAAACTAGAGATTTAACTATCACTTATTTTGAGTGATAGTTTGTGTCAAATCAAGCAAACAATGCATGTATTTTTTGTGCAGAAAATTCAAAAAAATGACGCATTGTGGACAATGCATGTATTGTAACTATCCCAATCAAAATATCACTAAAACCAAACGACCCCTGAGAGTTAAGAATGAAAGACATTTTATTTTTACCACAAATGGCTCTTATCGGCTCTTATCTTCTTTGTTCTAACTTGAATTGCAATTTTTTTGCACAAATGGAACGAGTTCGTTGTGCTGTACAAAGTGAGATCAATTTTCAATATCTTTTTAGAAAACAATTTCATACCTTTCATACCAACTCCATACCATATGGTATCTCCTTCATTTTTAAGTCGTGGTTTTTTTAATTATTTGCACATAAAGGAAGAGTTCATCATGACCTTTGGATCTACAAATTTATGGGTGAAAAAATACATGACCAAAGAATACCACCTCATACCCCCCTATTAAGGGAGGTTGTATCTTGTGGTACATAATATTAAAAGCCGTAAATGATAGTTAGTATACTCATACTATCATGTATTCAACCATCCTACTGTTTGGTATGTTCATACCACCATAGTATGCTTTCATACCATATGATATGCTCTTATTTAATACTAATCAATACCACCATGGTATGGAATGGTAAAAAATGTCTCAATTTTTTATTTCAAAAATATATCAAAGTGTATATTATTTTGAAGAGCGCGATTAATCTGATTTAACTGTGCAAATTTTTTTTAATTTCGATTAAAAACGAGAAAGAGAAATCGTCAGTTAAAAATTAAAGGGGAAAATATTAAAAGCTTTCCATAAGAGAGAGGTGCTGATGTGGCGGATTCTGGTTGATTTACTCATTGTTACTCACCACAAGGTTACTGACCTGATCCGTTCCCGAATCCATAGTCTCCCTCTCTGAATCTATGGCTTTCCTCCCTTACTGTTACACCCCCTCTCTCTTTTATCTTTCATAAAACTAGACAAATGACTCTCCCACTAGTAGGAATGACAATAGGGCAGGTTCCCGTGACAGATCAGTTCCAGTCCAGATAATTTATCATTGGGCGGGTGTCGGGGCAGGTTGACCCAATGTTTATGTAATTTATACGCAAAATATAAGAAATATTCGTTATTTTCATTAAAAACCCAAGAAACAACCATAATATGATAAATGTAGTTAACTTATTGAAAGAATTGACATTTTCACTTATTTACAATTTTATTATAGCTAAAATATGAGAAAATAAAGGGAAAATCCTAAATAATTTGACTAAGATTACATGTAATTTTGACAAGAACAGGTCAAGAATGGGGCGAGTCAGGACAAGTCAGGTCGACTTTGCCATCCCTATCACTAGTGAAGTTTTGGTTTAAGCCACTGCAAACAGTTATAAAACATAGGGCAATGTTTATTTTTTATCCAAACCTTTTTTCAGATTCTTTTATATTGTCCAAACCTATTAAAATGCTATTAATCAGCCAAATGTTAACTTCTAGTTAGTAATTTTGTTAGTAATATTGACTTGACAACATGATACTGACTTGGAAGAGACACATGAAGGTCAACATTACAAAATTTTAGTATTTTAACTAAGAAAATAATTACAAAATTATTAACAACAATGTAAAAATGACTAATATTTTGATGCATTTCGAAATATTTGGCTAATTAATAATATTTTAATAAGTTTGGATAATATAAAAGAATTTGAAAAAAATTTAGATAAAAAATAGACATTACTCTAAGTGTGAACATCTCAAAATCAAAAGGTTTATCCATCGTAATAGTCAGCCCTCCAAATAACCAATAACTTTTAAGTTTTACCAAATAGTTCATCATGACATACTTATCTCTATACATTAACTTAGTGAGTTCTCTAATGACAAAGATCTCCATCAGAAAATCAAATAATAAAGTTAGAGTTTAAGTCGTTGTGTATTGCAATTTATAAATTGATAGTTGACATTCAATGGTCTATTACTGTGACAACCCTTATCTGGCAGAGCTTCTAGCTTTCAGGGATGCTATCTCCTTTGTAGCCTCAAGATCCTTGTCCCACGTGATTGTCGAAGGCGATTCCGAAGTGGTTGTCAACCAAGTCCGTCAAGGAACTCAGAAGATTCGATTGGTGGTCCGGTGTTACGAGAGTGTCTCCAGATCCTTAGCTCTTTGTCTATTTGTATAGAGTTTAGGGCGGTACCTAGGTCCGCCAATAGTGCTGCCCATAGAGTGGCGCGTAAAGCACTGCTTTTATCTCTTGTAGAGTTAGAATCTTTTGATTTTTTGGGGGTAGCCTCAGTAGAGTGTCTTTAAGGGGTCCTGGGTAGAACTGTAAGTTTAACTATTTTATCTCATTGATATCACTCAGAAATAATAAAAATGGTCTATTACTGTGATACTGATTCTATGAGTATAAGAGAATGCAATAGTTTTAGAAGGGCTAAATTATACTTTTGGTCAATCATTACCAATGCAGTTAAAAGCGCGATTTTACCTAGAAGCTGAAAATGGGTAAAATCGTAAACCGTAGAATCAAAGCGTAAAAACGTAAGTTTTTGACGCATACTGTAAAATAACGGAAAATGTCTTATGTACGACATATACTATGTAAAATATGAGTGCACATAGTTTAGATAAGTTAATAAATATCTGTAATTCATGTCTAAAGTTGAGAAACTCATAACATTTTAACAATAAGTTCATAAACATATATCTTAACCATAAGCTACCTTCCCCTCTAAGCTAGTGATTTTGGGAAGGGTCTAGTTGGTGAATTAGATTACTCTGTTGAAACTAAGAATGCACCCAAGTACTTGATATGTATCTTTTAATCTTAAATATATCATATTTTTTGTGATTTACTTGTAAAATATAAGTATTTTCGTGAATAGAATACTCCTTTAGTGAACTAGAAGCGTAAAAGAGTAAATCATTTTGGTGAACCAGAAGCGTAAAAGAGTAAGCTTTTAAACTTTAAAGCGCATTTCAGTCCCGATTTTATACACTTAAGATTTTATATGGAAACGAAAATGTTTTACTGTTCTAGAAGCGTAAAACCGTAAGTTTTTAAGTTTTAAAGCGCGATTTTGACTGCATTGATCATTACATAAATCTTTCATGTTTGCCACCCAAATTAATTTTTTTTAATATTATCCACTAACTTTACGATTCGTGTCACCGACTGTCAGTCTCCGTTAACGTCGTCAAATTTTTTATGACAACCTAATCAGTCTCACCTAACCCAATTGACCAAAACATGTAATTTAACTTCTTTTTTAAGGACTAAAAAGAAAAACAAACTTAAAACCCAACCTCTTCCTATTCGCCGTCTTTCTTCCACCACTGCTAAAACCACCGTCGTCGTGGATGAAAGAACTCGTTGATATGCTCATCCTCATCGAGACCCGACGACGTCGTCGTGCGGCCGCTCTTCCCTCTCCCAATGATTCTCTTTTCAGGCGCGATTCTTCCACTCCAGATCTTCGAGTTCTGGGTGCGATTCTTCGGCTGTGTGGGTGAAATCGTGAAACACGAGTGCCTCGCTGATGATCGATTCTTCCTCATCTGCAAGGGCCAGGAGTTGATTCCCCTTTGCCAATCTCTTATTCAGATCTTCGCAACGACAACATCTCAATCTCTGGTCCCATGTCGGAGTACAACTCCTCCACGTTCCCCACCCCGCCGCCACTTCTATACCACCACCGCGCCCATCATCTACCTCCCATAGGTAATTTCAATCCCCTGCTTTTAGGGAAAAAAGTACTCTATATTGAAATCCACCTTTCTCTCAATGCCTACAGACATGCAGAAGATAAATTCTATAGCAATGAAATTTGTTGGCGTGTGGGATTTAATTAAAGCTGGGGGAATAGAAGAAAGGTGATTCTCTTGGCGGGTTTGGATTTTGGAGGTATATTAATAATGGAGAAGCGGAGGCGCGTTTCTACGAGATAGATTTTCAAGGGAGGAGTTTATTGGAGCTTCACGGGTGTGTTGGTTTATTGATTGACGAGACCACGACGGCTGGTCTCCCATGGTTCGATTCTCCGACCTTCGCCGGGAGTGGCTGAATGAGTCTGTGTTTCATTGAGAAAGCTTTTCGAGGGATGGGCTTTGGCTTGAAGTTCTTCGTCGGGAGCACGTTTGAAGGTGCGTCGAGGGAGCCGCAAACGGTGCTATAGTTGGAAGACACGGCGGCGAGGTTGAAGCGAGGGGAGGAGAAGAACAGAGAGAGGAGACATTTTTTTTTAAATTGATATATTATTAAGTTAATGGTCTAGTCAGCACTCCCGTTTGCCACATCATAAAAAATCTGACTGCGTTAACGGAGTCTGACGGAGACTGATGGCTGGTGACTAGCGGTGAAACGAATTATAAAGTTAGTGGCTAATATGAAAGATAAATAATTTGGGTGGCAAACGTGAAAGATTTATATAATTTGAGTGACCAAACATGTAATTTTGCCAGAATGATGACCAAAGATCATTGGCTCATAATTGCACTAAGGGTTGAGAATCATAAGTAAGTGATTAATGATTGAGACATCATTGGTTGATCTTTAAATTTAACAATAAATAATATATAGAGATGGTTCTATCGTACACCAGGTAGAAGCTGGTGTATGTCGTACACTATCCGCGTTCAGCT